AAATAGTTTCTGCTGAATATTAAAAGGTTGTATTACTCATTCTGGACTTTAGAGAATATAAGGTTCGATTTAGATGAATTTTGTTTTCGAACAAAAGTACATATTGCAGGAAATTCAATATTAATGTAATAAGAAAACTTGATCCTGAAGCTCCTGCTATTGCATGTTTGGTGCTTTCTAATGAAATTGAAGCAACTAACAATTTGACAATTGCAAGAGCTTTCCGATGATGCCTTACACAAGTTTAATTGTATTTTATGGAAATTTTGTTAAATCCAGTGTAAATTTGTCCTTTAAATACTTTTAGTGTGGCTGTTATTCATAGTAAATACTTTTTTCATTGCAGACAGTGTCTCCTACACACTGAAGGTTAAGGAATTTTAAAATTCAGTAATATAACAGAAATTCTATGAATAAATAGATGAAATTAATTACTATTGTTTACAGTTGGTTGGTTTTGGAATTTTGTAGCACATTTTGTAGGTAGGCCAAAAAGTGCCAGGTACTATTGTTTACTCTAAATATTGGTATATAATCTCTATCATACAATACTTCAAATCAGTCTGATAAATATTGAAGCTTCTTAAAAGTCCAATTTCAGTATTAGTGCCTACTAATTTACCCATTTGAACTTTTTAAGTGCCTATTTTACCTATCTATTTATGACTCTTAATTCTTAGATTGTCCAAACCTTATATATTACATACTAAACAATTATTTTGACCAGACCCAATGTAATGTCATCATGGATTTTTTATTTACTTTTCACATCTACTAGCAAAGTTCAGTGCAATGGGAATTAAAATTTATTATACACCTAACTACTTTTGATTACTTTGACACTACTTTGTATTAATGAAACCATGCCTCTTCTCTGTTTTATTATACCACTTCATTGTGTATAAGAGAAAGTATTTTTACACCAATTGATATACCCAGTAATGCTCAGGACTGAAAACTATGCAGTTTTCTTACTTGGTGACAATATATGAAATAGTGGCAAAGATTAAAATAGTTTCTCTTAAATGATGAAGTTAATTTTTACTATAGCAAACTAACAAAACAATTTAAAAATGGTACATTTCAAGAGGCACTTATATTTCACAGAAACATTGAAAGTAGAAGGAAAATAATATTAATAAGATTTATTAAATATTTTCAAAATATTCACTCATTAGGTTTTACATCATAAGTTATAAGCTAAATTATTGGTATTTAGGTTCATTTAGACTCTCAACCATATAGGCACTAAGAGCCTTTAATCGCTGATTTGGCCAGATCCACAATGTCACTGGCCAGGTGGCGAGGATTGGGGCTGACATAACCAGGATAGGCCACCCTCAAAAAAAAAATTTCTATAGTTTTGAACCAACCAGATTCAATCCCAATCTAGAATGATAGGTTGTATCTTTTATTGCTTGGCCATCTAGTCATACCAATATTCAGGTAAAAACACCAATTAAATGATGACACATTGCATCCAATTTTACCCAGTTGCCAGTCTCATTTAAATCATGTGTTCTTAATAATTAATTTTTTTTTTAATTTTCTTTCTATTTACATTGAAATTGGCAATGTCTCAAACAATATTTGCTACCCCCATTACAAAAATCCCAATTAATTAAAACATTCAAATAAACCCCATTATATATATAGAATATAAATCAAAAACATTCAATATATGAAATATAACTCAAATTCTACAATACATCCAAATCAAGGGTGGATTCAAGTGGCCTATAGGAGCTCTTAATCCAGGGGTGGCCAACAGTTTTTGCCCCAGGCCGAATTGGAAAGAAAACTTTTTTCACAGGCCAAACCAGAGGCTGCCCTAGGAAGATTTTGAGGTGGTCCGAGATCTCATTGTGGTGTCACCCCGTAGAGACTAAATTGTACATAGAGATTACAGATACATTTTTCACATCATCATGCTTTACTAACATTATACACTGTACTTAAGAGATTTGTAAAGGAGGATTAACTCTAAATGCACAGTGAGCTGTTGACTTTTTTTTTTGGTCAGAAATTTTCATCGATCTATTCGGACTTGAGTAGCTAATATTGAAAGATTAATTGCGGGCCATATGTTGGCCATACCTGTCTTAATCCCCCCCCACTGACAAAAAAACAAATTAAACTTTGTTTGAACTTTAAAATGTTTTTAAAAACATTTATGCTGGCAAATATAGTTTATTGGACTGTCCACATGTTAATAAAAAGATCCTTAATTGTTCAAAACATTTTAAGTTTTTGAGTTATCCCCCTTTAGGTTTTTCTGGATCTACTACTATATCCAATATACGTTTCATCCCTATAAAACTAAAAGGATCTTTTAATTATATATATCATGGATTTAGCCAGGCTCATAATGAGGACAACCAAGCTGTAAGGGAGGGACGAGGTCTGACACTAAAGACAGATTGTTGATATAGAAGTCTTTAGACTTGCTGACCAGATTTGATCATGCCCTCAGAGTGGCAGGCAGTGGATCGCCATATGGCTGAGGAAGTAAAGGCCTCGGCCATACAACTGTCCTATGTTTATTATTATGAAATTTTTACAAAATTTTTTTTCAGTTTACAAAACAGTATTATTGACTTGTGAAACAAAATTATTACACATGTACTGTACATATTGCTTTATTTGCTTAAATATTACTGTTTCATTTAAAAAACAATGAATGAGCACTAACATTCTTTGATAAAAATATTACAAGTGCTTTAATAAGATAGTTGTTTCATTGTTTCATATATAAAAGTATTAACTTACTGATGTTTTTACTTCTAGAAACAGCTTAGATCAATAACTATACTTTCCTCCACCAGATAAACACGTCAGAATACTTTATTTTAAATATACAAATATTGAAAGTGAGATGGATATGTCACTCATGTTACAATTACTTGTTTTCATTTAATATGTATTTTATATAAAAAACTTTTGCATTGTATACCTAAGAAATAGATTAGTGTTAGATTACAATACAGAAAATGAACTGCTAAGCTTATTCAATAAATATTAAACTTCTAATTATTATTTTCCTTTATGAGTATCATATCATGTATGGCACTTTATTTACATGATATACTTAGATATTTTGAGATTCAGTAACATATGGCCATGGATTGATTATATTTTTCCCCACTGATTATACTAAATAACATGGTTTTAAATAAAGTGGCAATATAGTGGAATTAGAGACAATTAACTTTTGGCCCTTCATAATAGTTAAAGTGGAACCTCCACAGTATATAAAAACACGAATACACCTTACACACTTTTCCAGCAGTTAGTTTTAATTAAAACTAACATTTTCAGCTTGATTGATAAGTTTTCTTCAGATATTAAACAGATATTCTTTCGGCCCTCAATAGGACTATTCATTATTTTACATTAAAATATATCACACGATAGCCAGGTATTTATATAATTTAAGATAAAATATTGAATTAATATTGTAGAATTAATCATGTTAAAATCAAGAAATAGCTGTATGTAATACAAGTGGCTTAAATTACCTAATATAACAGATATATGTAATTAATATAATTTGCAATATATTAAAAATATACTGAACATTTTTGTAAACTTTCAACTAATTGATTTTCAAGTATAATATCCATTTAGTTCTTTTAGTCTTTGTTTTATAAGCAAGATTAAAGAGAGATCAAGTATTTGTATTGATTGTTGGCAGACACATTAAGATTTCTGAATGTTTCACTGAAATAGCTTTATTTTTTTGGGAGACAAACATAGATACAAGTAACTAATTCCTGAAATAAATGATAGCAATCAGAGGTGAGAGACAATATCTAAAGTTTATTTTTATAGCAAATTTTCAAAGAAAGATCAAAAGAATTTTCTATGTATCTTAATGCCAATAATGGTTATATTGATATTATTGATAATGTTGATTAAAACTCCAAAGCACAATTACATACACTTTCAACATTATACATAAATAAGAGCTTCGGAAACAATCAAAATACCTCCAGAGAAAGAAAGACACTTAAAAAATAAAACAGTATTTTTGATGCTGTGTAGATTCGATGTCAAAGATCTTAAGACATTATTTACAAAGGACAGTATAAACTTTTACATTTGGTACAAAAAATTATGAGTTTTTTTACTTTCAAAAATTTTATATTTATCAACTTTATGTAGTTCTGGCAAGCTAATAACATAAATCAATTCATGCATCTGAGAATTACTATAATACTGTTCATTTAACTAAGAACAATATTTCTGTTAAAAAAAAAAAAAACAGTGATGTATTTTAACTTCTATAGTTAAATTAACAAAAAAAAAAAAAAAAACATCAATTTTGGTAACAGTTAAATTTAGATTTGTCAAAAGAATAAATTTAAACCTAAAAATTTCATTTAAAAAATCAGATACACAAAAATCAGTAGTTTTTAACTATTTTAATAATCACTTCTAAATCCAAAGCATTGCATCATTACTAAGATGGAAATTACTAAGTTATTTTTATCACACCTACATTTAGTACTACCTACCAATGACTCAGAAGCGACTGGAACCCAAATGGCGGATTTAATAATATTGTTTGCCAAAAACAAAAAGTGTCTACTGTATATTTTAAATATAGTAAAATTAGTAAACTACAGTAAATGTGAAATCTTACTTATCTATCAAATTACACTACAATAAAAATAAAAAAGAAATTTGCACTCTCTACTGTCTTCTATGGAAGAAAAATCTCTACTAAAGTATAAACAAAATACTGATAGCAATTGGTAATGAACTCTAATACAAAATATAAGTTCTTACTATATATAAAAGAAAATTATATTTTAAAAGTACTAAACATTAATATCAAAAGGTAATCTGATTATTGTTATAATTCTGTTCACCATAACTTTGGACTATTGCCAAAACTAAGCAGCCTTTTAACACTTACTTATTATTATATATAATAATAGTTTTATAAGGATAATTAATTAAGCATATTAGCATATAGTGTAGCATATTAATCCTACCTTTGCACTATATTAGTGTTCAGCAGTCAGTAGCTTTCATCGTGGTCCTAAGTTAGAGTGAATTTTACTATAGGAAGAACTGATATAATTTAGTAATAAAATAATGAGAAATATTCAAAATGGTAAGAAAGTTATGCATCACAAAGATGTAATTACAGAAAAAACTCTTTTAGTTTGAATTTTACCAGGAATGAGAAATAATTGCAAGACTATACTTCAGAACAATTATACTTCTGCAAATGCAACTGTATCTATGTCAATTGACACCAATAGCAAGTCAATTCTACTTGTTTACAACTGTACAAAGTAAGTTGGCTCTTAAAAATAAATATAAAATTAATGCATCTCAAATACAAATAAGGGACTGTTCAAATCAAACTATAAAATTGTCATAATATTAATAAGATTTGTTAAAAGATTATTTAATATACACTTTTTAAATTATTATGATTTGAAGTAATATTTTATTTAGAAACAAAACAGTTACAGATAAATTAATAAAAGAAATACTGTCATATCAAATTGATCCCACGACCTTTAAAAACAAAGGCTATATGTCTGCTTTCACGTAATTATACTTGCCGCATTCAAAGCACTAATGTTCCCCTGCACAGGATTTATAATTTGTAATGCATAAAACAGTAACATGATTGAAAAACAGAATTTCTAATTCTGTTTTTTCACAAGAATAAGAAAAACTTTTAGTGCCATAATAAAGTTTCTCATTCTTGGCTTTAGTTAAAAATCAATTCCCTTTTATATGTTTAGATCAGATATTTGGCCTTTATGAAGGTTAAACGGATAAAGTAAAAATTCTGAAAATTGATCCTCTTGTCATTTGGAGATCATTATGTAGAACACATGACAAAGCTTAGCAGTTAAACTTAATTTCATTCATGCAATTAATTTTTAAACCGATTAAATATCTGAATTATGTAACAATCGGCACTTTATTTGTAGAAGAAACACCACACAACAAATTATATATTATAACTACAGTATAACAAAATAAAACTGTCTTACATTAAAAAAAAAAAAAAAATCAAATCCAAATGCACTTCACTTCAGAAAAATTTTTAAGACTGGCAAAAGCATTTTTAAAAACATGAAATACTATCTAAAAAAATTAAGCTTTGTTGATTGAAAAATTTTAAAAAATCATAAAACTTGTAAAAAAACAAAAAATAGGAAAGAAATTTAACACATTAAAAGTAAATATACGAGATATTTTACGACTGATAATGGACTTCTCAATAGATCCAAGCCTGTTCATATTACAAAGCTTTTATTTCTTTTTTGTTGGTTGAAACAGAATAGTTTTAATATCTGTGTATACTTCACATTATTATTCTTTGATGTGACTAGACATCTCTCATACTCACTTTGTTCATGACTGTATCAAAATACCATTATTTTTGGGTGTTATAATTATTAAATCAAATTAAATTACTCTCTCTCAAATTCAGAAATTTAACATGTTTCCAATAAAAAGTTGCAAGCATTTTAATTCTTGAGTAATGACTATCACTCAGTTATACCACCATTCATTCTTTCTATTATCCTTGTCAATTTTTTAAAATAAAAATACACTGTAAAGATAAATAAACTGTAATTTGACTTTGAATATAATAAACATAGTTATAAAAAAAATATTTAGAGAGAACTTCAATTGAAAAAATAATACAGATGCACAAGTTAAGCTTTCAAGTTTTATATCAAATTCCCTAAGTAAATATATTTGTCAAATTTTTTACAAGATCTAATAGGTTAAATGCACAAAATTATCTCAAGTTTGCAAAGGTTTAGAGTAGAACAAGCAATAGCAAAATCAATTTCTCGGTTCTATCTCATTCTTAAATAAACTAGAAGATAATTATACTAAAAATAAATATGCATGCTTGGAATAACCTAGTTTACATCCTTAATTATCATCATCTGTTGTGGATTACAAAAACATTGTAGCGGCAAGAATATAGAACTGGCACATTTATAAAAATATCGCAATATAAAAATTCATTTTACATAATTGTTTCTATCCTGAATATTCTCCTAATTCTATATTTTCTTAAGTATTTCTTGTATACATTCCTGTGCTTATTATTATTATTTGTATACTATTAATTTAAGATTTTAGAAATCTTAATTTAACTAGAAATTAAAAAAACTCAATGACAATTCATTGCAATAATCCAAACTAATTGAGGCTAAAATATGTTTGAATTACTAAAAAACGATTTTAAAAACAAAATTTCAAGTAAAGCAACTTTATTTAAAGTTAATATTGTAGTAGCACTGAAGTATATTTGCTGTTGTTTAACAAGGACATTTCTACAGCCCTTCTCCTCAAACAAAGAAAAATTTCATAATGTTACTGCTTCATTTTCATATCCAAGTAATACATAACCTCCCTCCTAATTCCAATTCAGATTATTGGCGATTTGGAATTCTGGGATTACATGTACCTGAAAATAGTAGTACGTGTGTAAGTGTGCATATATAGAAATAGAAAACTAATCACAGGTAAAAAGCATCTATCAGTAATTTGTAAATCTAGAAAACTTTCATGTATTATATTGTTTAAAAATATTTCTATATTACAAAGCTACGACGTGTGTAATGTTCTGCAACAACAAAAACAATCAAAAAAGATTTTGGTATCTCCAGTAGAAGTTTGTTGATCCAACATCTGTGGTACCAACTACTGAACATTTTTGTATTTTCATAAAATGCAATAAGTTAACATACTTCTGCACAAACAGTAGCATGCTCTTATGCAAACATCATGTTTTGCAGTTTTGAAACATCTTGCTTTGTTTATAAGGGCACTGCCCTGTGTCAACATACTATATGAATACTTTACATTTAATATAACTATTCAGTGGCATCTACAGTAACCATTATTAAAATTAACCAGCAACAAGTTGCTCAACTTTCCTGGCAACATTTAAAATTTTGGTGGCACCATCTGTTATCATATTTAAAACTTTTTATATTTTTAACTGTTTTAAAATAGCAAAAAGGTTAATTTTGAGGGTAGAGATAAGTTTTATAAAATAATCGTAAATGCAAATAACCAGTAAAATCGCCATTAACTCCAACCCTACTAGAGATATGAAATGTTGGCCTCTTTGTGCTGGTAAGGGACCTAAAAACAAAAACATGAAATGCAACATACATTATCTTCCCACCCCTTCGCCCTTTAACCACCTAATATAAACAAACCACAATGCCAAATTTCAGAAATTTGACAAAAAGCACAGGAGTTAAAAGCTTCAAACAGGGTGAACAAAATTGTGTCCCCCCCACAGAAATTACCCCAGAATTTTTTTGCATTTCTCAACATTTCAAGATGTCCTGTCCCCAAAAATGTAAAAATCTGGGGAGTGTCATTTTTTGCCAGATTACCATACTTTCCCCTCTGTTATAACACACAAAAAAGTAATAAAGAGCCAAAATTTAAAAAAACTCTTTCAAAACCAAGATTTTTTTTAATAATAATGAATTTTTTTAGGTACTTTGCAGAATATAGTGCTTAGTCTTGTGTGGAAATATGGTATATACAATCTGAACACTGCAAGACATTTCCATACATTTTATACCAGTAAATGTTGCCTGTAATCTTCTAATTTGTGTACTCATGCTCTTTAATCACAGTATGAAGACAATACAGCACACGACTATCGTGTTAAGGTAAAAACCTTCAAAACACATTAATTAATGAACACGTTATTGCAGAAAAATCGACATTTACAATAATTTATGTGTATGTAATAATGTAATTATTTTCCAGACATATTATATACATACAGTTCATACAATTATGAATGATCTAAGAATGAGAAATCTGTGTTTTTGGTGTGCTGTCCTTGCTTTGGCCTGTGGGAAAGAAAATATACCACTCATGCACGTTACTAAACACATCATATACTAGATCTAACAAAGCAATGTTCATTTGGCACAACGTAGGCTACATATTGTTTATTGAATTACACTGCCAAAGGGTACCAGATTACTAGACATTTCAGATTGCCATGTTAATGAATTTCTACTCTGTTATACCCTTATCTAAAAATCAAAAATTGATACCAGATTATTTGCAAACTCACTTTAAATGATTATATTGCATGAATAAAACTTTGTTTCTGTAAATTTATAACATTAATAATGACATTACTAATGTTTTAGAGTTTTAAAGCAAAGAGAAAAACAAACAATAATTGTAAAGACATACATTTTCTATTCTTTCATTTTATGGGCTCTTTAGTCTCTCCAAACTGAGGAAATTATATTAAAAAATAAGTTTCACTGCGATACAAACAGTTGAAATATATAAAACTTAGCAGCTGTACTAAACATGTTAACAGAATTTGAAGAAAATATCATATTTTTAATTTTCTAACAATGCTGCATTTATATTGCTAATAATGGGATGTTACTCCAAAAAGCATTTCAATTAAAATTTTTTGTTGTTGTTAATTAATAATTTTTACTTTTGTAAATTACAAGTTTCTAATCATCATTTATTATATAATATGTTCCACAAGAACATGCTGAAAACTGAATAGTTACAATAAAGTGACACACACTGTTCCAACATATGATTAATTGAACACACTTTTGCAAGAAAAATTTTGAAAAAAATTAATATTTTGATGTTTTTATCACAATAAATTATGTTTTTATACATTAGTATTAATATGTTACTACCACTTAATGTTATTTTCTGTTAAAATACAAGCAGACATCAAGTTAAAACACACATATTATATAAACATTAATAGTAAAAATAAATTTTAAAATTACAAAAAACAAAACATTATTAACATGATGCAACAAGAATTCCTCAATATTTAACAGTAAATAGAATATTAAAGGAGAGCAAAACTACAACCAAATGCCTAGGTCTTCCTACATATTCTTATTACAAAAGAAACTTGTACACCCAATCAACTCAACTGAAGTCATTCAAGTGTGTCCAATTTGAAAGTTTCTTTGTTTTAACAAGAGAAAGTTAATAATAAATAATATTAGCTTTTTTATAAACTAGTTCTTCAATTACTCAAGTAAAAAGATAATTTGTCTTACCTTTATATAAGGTAGAAAAGATATTTATCATCATCATTATTAATATTTATACTTGTATTTACTACTATGGGCGCACACTAATAGTTTCAATTCTTATGTGCATCTTCAGCACAACTTTACTCCTCAAAGAACTAAATACTTTTATTGGACTGAAATTTTCAAATTGCAGACCCATATATTCCCAGTGACGTCTG